CTAACCCACAACTCATTAACACCTCCAATTATTCTTGTTGGACTATTTCCATTAAAGAAAGTAAATGTAACATTTTCAAATGAATAAGAATTTTTGATTAATTCAAGTTCAAAATTTGTTTCAATGTTTCTAAAGTTGAGATAATAACTTTTACTAATTCCTTCTTCTAATCTTACAATAATTTTATTTGCTTTAAATGTATTACTTATTGAACCAAAAGAAAATTGCCCATAATAATTATTAACTGAAATAATAACTGATGGATATTTAGTATAATCTCCTTCTAATACATCTGAAGTTAAAGTAGAATCAGTACATGTCTTGTTTATGTAGATCATAACATCATCACCTCTCTCTTCTTTACAATACTCACCAACACAAAATGAAATAAATAAAAGCAATATGCAATTCATGGTATTTATTTATTTGAGTTCTTTTCTTTTATAATAGTACTGTTGAGGGTTTCTCCTATTCTTACCCATCCTATTTTAAAATTTTATGTTGACATTTTAACCTATTTTTAAAACCATGTTTTATTATTATTAAAAATGTAGAACTACTAGAATAAGAAAAACTAGATAGCAAAACTGTGAAAGAAATAAATCAATTTTCTTAAACACCACCATTCTTAAAGAGTTAAGGACTTGAATGTTTATTAATGCAACAATGAAATATATTGGTTTTGATTATGTATCACTAAAGAGTATTATCTTTTATGTATAATGATCATACACACAAGCACTCGGAGAACGGTAACAAATTTAATTGAAATGAGGATGTTTATCATAAAAACAGTATGAAACGGAGAAAAATAAAAATATAAATTTAGTTTATTTATATTTCAACAAAAGTAAATATAAATAAAAAGGAATGGTTCCTAATTCTTTATTTAAATAAAAAAAGAGATAAAATAAATAAAAATAAAGTAATATTGTTGTTCTTTAGTTTCTATAAATGTCTTTAATGTTAAAAATATAAACAATTATTTTTGTTTGTTGTGATAATTT